AGGGCCTGGCTGTTGGAGATGAGAGAAGTAGGAGCAGCCTGGATAGCTTTTCCTTTGCGTAGGGATAGAGAGGAGGTGTGTCACTCCCTTCAGGTCCCTGGGCAAATGTCAGGTCTCCTCCTCGGAGAAGCCCTCCCTGACCACCCTGACCACTGCCTATAACTTTTAACCCCTTTACTTTGCCCTAGTTGTCTTCCTTGCCTCTCTCTGTCCCCAACCCCGGAACCACTGACTGTCACCAGCTCGTGACCTGTCGGGAACCAGGCGCACAGCAGGAGGTGAGCAGCGGGTGAGCAAGCAAGGCTTCATCTGTATTTACAGCCGCTCCCATCGCTGGCATCACTGCATAAGCTCCACCTCCTGTCAGATCAGCCATTAGATTCTCGCAGGAAACCGAACCCTACTGTAAACTGCACATGCGAGGGATCTCGGGCGCAGGCTCTCAGGTCCTGCACAGTAAATGTAATGCGCTTGAATCATCGCGACCACCACCCCATCCTGGAAAAATTGTCTTCCATGAAAACCGGTCCCTGGTGCCACAAAGGTTGGGGACCACTGTATTATATATGGACTAGGTAGAACCATATGAAATTGTCCTTCCCGTATGTCGAAAATAGTTGAAAATGGGGAATTTCATCCAGTCCAGTTTAAGCGTTTGCCTCTACCAGAATGCCAGCTCCAGGACGGCTGGGATGTTTGTGTCCTTCATAGTCATGTCCCCAGACAACGCCTGGCACACAGTAAGCACTGGGTGAATGAAGGGTAAATGGTTGAGGGAACTTGACCACCCCAAGGAGCTCGGCAGGGCAGCCGACGCAAAGGCCCCGCCAAGCCGGAGGGGTCCCCCGGGGGGCGCCGCCCTGTACCCCGCAATCCTGGGCGCCTTCCCGGCGGCGCGGCTGCCAGGCGGGGTGGAGCTCGCCGTCATCCGTTTACCAGCCTCGCCTCTCCAGCAGGTGCGCCGTTAATGAGATTAGCAATTAAAAAGGGGGCTGGCGGCGCGCGGCGGAGGCGCGGGGCCACCCGCAGGCCGAGCCCGGGCGCACCGCGACGGCCGTGCGGGGTCGGGAGCCGAGCGCCAGTCCGCGCCATGGAGAAAGCGCGGCCGCAGTGGGCCAACCCGCTGCAGTTCGTGTTCGCCTGCATCTCGTACGCCGTGGGCCTGGGCAACGTGTGGCGCTTCCCCTACCTGTGCCAGATGTACGGCGGAGGTGAGTGCGGGCTCCCCGCGGAGCTGCGGGTGCGCGCTGGGGTCGACCCTGCGGCAGACCTGGGCGCAGGGCTCGGAGGGCACGAGGGGTTTGCCCGGCAGCACAGAGCTGGGAATGATCGCGGGACGGCTCGTCCCGGAGCGGCTCTGTCCCCGGCCGTGCCCCGGGCCCTCCGCAACGCCTTGCCCGTCCCAGGGCGGCCGAGCCCCGCTCGCACCCTGCGGGCCCGCGGCCGCTCCGGGCCAGGAGGCGCGGGACGCCGCTGTCCCCCCTCGGGAGCAGGAGAGGTGCGACGCTCCGACTTCGGTTAGTAAACGTCACGTTCGAGTGTCAAAAGTAAGAAGGAAATCGCCTTATTCAGTAGAAACTTGTTACACAACTTTCAGATCAGAAACTTAAATCCCCAGCAGCGCAGTGTGGAACTCAGGTTAAGAGGATCTTGAGCCATTTCTTTAAATTTTTTTATAAAGAGATTGGTTTGTGTTTGGAACCACAGGAGGCAGGAAAGGCAAATCATTCTCTCTCCTTCTTTCTTTCCTTTTCTTTCTTTCTCTTTCTTTCTTTCTTTTTGTTTCTTTCTCTCTCTTTTCTTTCTTTCTTTCTTTCTTTCTTTGAACAAATTTTTCCTCTGAAGCATCACTGCACTCACACACTTACCGGCTCTCCTTAGCGTTGCTGAGAGCTGGGAACACCTTCCATGACATGCCAAAGAACCTGGGTGAGGGCCAAGTACCTTTCTGGAAGGCAGTGTCCCAAGAGCGAGTCAAGTCTCAGCAGTTTAAAAAAAAAAACGTTTTTCCTCGGTTGTTCCATTTCTAGAATCCTATCTAAAGAAAATAGTCATAATTCCGACAGGTAGAAAATTGAAGTTTGGTCACCATCATTTCATAATAGCAAAACATTGGCAACGTCTTAAGCCTTCAGCTGAAGGAAGTTGGCTCAATTACGGAGCATCCATGCAGTTCTCTTTAAGGTAGCACTTCCAAAAAGTTTTATGTATTTTCTCATGTCATATATTAAGTGCAGGGAGAAGTCAGATTCAAAGCTATATAAAATGGGTATAAAAATTTTAAACAATTGTTTGAAAATGTGCAGGGAAAAGAATGAAAAAATACACCAAATTGTTAACAATAGTTACCTCTGGGTGGTTTTTGTTTTACCCTGCTCTTTGTGTGTGTCTGTGTGTGTGTGTGTGTGTGTTATGTCACCATGGTTTTTTTTTATCTTAAAGAACAATGTAAGATGTTAGACCAAAGTATTTACAAAATTTAACCATTTAATAAGACCAAGACCTAAGCACTGCTCCCTCTTCTCCTCACCTTCAGCAGCTCAAGAACAGTTCAACAAAAGGTTAATTCATAGAGTTTTTTTAAAAAATAGTGCATTCTATTTTTTTTTTTTTTTTTTTTGAGACAGTGTCTCACTCTGTCGCCTTGAGTAGACTGGTATCATCATAGCTCACAGTAACCTCACACTTCTGGGCTCAAGCGATCCTCCTGCCTCAGTCTTCCGAGTAGCTGGGACTACAGGTGCCCACCGTGCCTGGCTAACTTTTTTTCTTTTTTTTTTTGGTAGAGAACGGGACCTCACTCTTGCTCAGGCTGGTTTTGAACTCCTAACCTCCAACATTCCTCCCACCTCAGCCTCCCAGAGTGCTAGTATTACAGGCATGAGCCACCATACCTGGCCAAAATAGTTCATTCTTAATTCCCCAATTCCATTTTAGACTTTGAAATGCATAAATGCACCATAATAATGTGCAAGGCAAGTGTTGCCATATACTCTAACAGCTTTATAACTAATTTTTGAAAGAATTATTCATCAGACTGAGATTTCCACATCATTCTGTGCTCAGTACACCTACCCGTGATGCCTTTATCCTGGGTACACATATCCCAACCATCAGGCCAGGTAAGCCTCACTGGCTTAAATGACCTGGATTAAATGGCCATTTATGACTGGATTGATGACTGACCATTAATGACTGGATTAAATGACCATTTCATCCCGTGTTTATTCACCACCTGAATAGTCTGCAGAGAGACACAGGTAGGGCTGAGTCGTTCTGGAGTAAAATAATAATCAAGGAGTTGCTAGTAAAACCTCAAGACCTTCAGGTCCCAGGAAAAAGAAATAAGACGAACTCTGGTTTCTGGTACACAGGATACTCAGGCTGGGTGGGTGGGTGGATGGATGGATGGACAGATGCTGGGCATAGGATGGATTGGTGGCTGGGTGGCCGCATTAGTGAGTGAACGGACAAATGAAAGGTCGGTGGATGGCACCCTCTTAGCCAAATATCTACAGAAGAAAAACCAAACAGCTCTGGCACGGCAGGCCCTTCACCACCTAATATCTATCCAATATTCCCACCTCATTTCCTGCCACTCATCTTCAACCGCCACCCCCACCAACTCTTCTGAACACTGTCTGTCCATGAACGCCAACCTCTCTGCCTCCGCTCTCTGCCTGAGATATTTCCTCCACCTGGGGTGCTGCTGTTGCCTGGAGAGCTCCCACTCTTCCATGGGGCAGGCCACATGTCACCTTCTCTTGGTTGCTCTCTCTGACTCTCCTGCTACCTGGCAGGCCGCATGAGCACTTGGTCAGAACTGCACATTGTTCTGCAGTTTCTCTGCCCACCCCCGGCCCAATCTCTGTGATGTGGTGGAGTCAGAGAAGGCACCCAATAAATATTTGTTGAATGGATGAGCAAGGTTGTTATGAAAAGCCACAGAGTGAATGAGGTAGGGGGAGCTGGTGTTTCTCCCAACTGTGGAGCAAGGTCACCTATTAAGAAGTGATTTATGTTGCCCCAAGAACTGGCTGGGGGCAGTTTACAAAGCCATTCTTTACTTCATGGTAAAGGGTAAGGGGCAAGCCAACCACATCATGAAAGTCTCCAAGGGGTATGTATTTTCTCAGCAGAGCTGCAAACACCTCTAGCAAACAAAGAGCTTGTTTATAAACCACCAAGCCTGACTGTGCCAAAATACTTCGCAGAATAAGACGGCTTAGGGCTCTGTCTCCTTTCCATGGGACTCTCCCCGTGACTGGGAAGGCTTGTTCCCTTCCTGCTGTCCAGGCCAGGCCCAGCGCAAGGAATGTTAATTCTAAAGATTACATTCCAGGTACCAATCATCTCTTACAGCTCTAGCCACCTGAGCTAGAAAAAACATAAAAGGCAGCTGAAGAAACTTCACAAAATCTTTTTTTGAAAAAGTCAGCAGGTCTTGGGTGACCATGTCAACATCTAAGGCAATGACTGCTCAGGAAGAAATCAGGGACACGAGTGTGCTGTATACTAACACGTAAAAAAACACAGCAGCAATTTGTTTTATATTAATATAAATGTATGCACGGAAGAAACATGAAGAAATGAGAACAGTTGTGTGACCGGCGGAAATATGGATTTTTTTTCCCCTCTTAAATCGTTTCTATGTGATGTTCGAACAATAAAGAGGGCACAATCAGAGGACACTCAAAAGCCCCTACTCCTCTCTGGGGCAGGAAGCCAGCTCTTTCAGCTCTCTTCACTCTGCTAATCCCAAATCACTTAGAACGTCGCATCTCAAATTTTAGCCTTCCTTAGGGTCCTGATAAACCGTAGATTGCAGGACCCCGTTCCCAGAGATTCTGATAAGAGACCCTCCAACAGAGGCCCTCGGAGGAAGGCAGGATCCTGCATTTCTAATGAGTTCTTGAGGGAGGCTGCTGCTGCCTTCCATGGACCAGGCTTTAGGGGAAGGGTCAGGGTTGCTTGTTTGCCCCCAGGCCTGGCAGTGGGTTGCTGATAAACGTTTAACAACTGGCTTTTGGTGGGGGCAGCAGGACTCAATTCCTAGCACTTGCTGATTATTGTGGTGTAAATATTCCCATGTGGCCAATTTCAGACTGCCAAGGTATTGTGCCAGAGAGTGGGGTTGGGAAGAGTGAGGACAATTGGTTCTTGTGAGCTGGTCTGAGCCAGCCCCAGCACACCTCTGCAGCCAGGTGCTGTGGTGGCCACAGCTGCTCAGGCCAGACCAGCCCGGGACTGATCCACACCAGGTCAGTCTGTGGATGGACAGGTGAAGCCCTGCTCTGTGCTGTTTCTGCAGTACTCCCTGGTGGGACAGAACCTGAGTTGCAGGCACTGTAAGTATCAAATACATACAATTTCCAAGGTGAGCTCGAGAGGCAGGCCCCAGCAGTCAGGAAAGACCGTGGGCAGGGGCCCCTGCTCATCTGGGGTTTCCACACTCAATGCTGGTAACACCTGCTCCATTGGGCTCCTCCCTTGAGCATCGTGTGAAGCATTTTCTGCAGGTGTTCAACTTGGTCTTCAGAACGCTCCCGCAGTTGGTCCTGTCACCCGCATTTACAAATGGAAAACAAGTTCAGAGTAGACAAGACTTCTGGAGGAGTAGCTGGGGCTCGAGCCATTTCTACATCCAAACCAGGGCTCTCTCCCCAGCAGCCTGCAGCTTTTGAGACAGCAGGACAGGAGTGGCTGCCTCAGCTGTCCAGACCTTTCTAGGATCCCTGAGTCAGAATCACCACGGCTCAGGGTATTTCTTCCCGTGGTTCTGATGTGACACTCATTGGAGAGGGCCTGGCTGAGAGCCCGTGTGTCTGGGATAGCCACCCTCAAGGATCTCTTGTCCCTCCTCCCCTGCACCTCTGCCCTTCCCTGAGCACTCCCGAAATGTCTGGTGTCTTTCTTCTGTCTTCCTGGGGCAGTCCGTGCTCTTCACCCTCCCCAGGAAACCTCCTCCTCCCTTCCTAAATTAAAGGCACCCTCCTACCCACAGCCCACCCTGGGCCCCCAGGCTAAAGCCATCCCTTCCTCAGGATGCACTGTGGGGTTGGGCATGGCTCACCCCACTCAGCAATCAGTCAGGAATACAGTGTCTACCTGCTGGTGGAGAAGCCTCTACTCGTCTGCATGTTAGAATTGCCCAGGAGCTTTAAAAAGACACTGACACCTGTGTCCTACCCCTAGCAATCCTGATTGGGTT